ACCAGAGTGTAGTAAGAACGTGCAAATGACCACACACGTAGTTGCAGATACTGCAAAACACAGTTTTGCCTAACCCCTAAGTTATAAATACATTACTGTACCTTGTTAATCTTTAGCTTTGACCTAATTTATAACAAAGATAACTTTATTAGGTATCAATGGTTTTTCAATGTTTCCTATAGCCTTTCTTACCAGTTATAACTGTAATATACAAGTATATACAGTCTTGGTTTATTTTTCTACTTGATGCTATGTGGTGAATACTGTTACATGGTGTTGTCTGGTTTTTATCTTTATCACTTGGTAATAATTGTACTTCATTGGCTTGTATCATGTTTTTGTGTTTGTATCATGTTTCCTCAAATATTTTCACACAGTGGCACCTGGAGGTTCTATTTGAAATCTAAGGTAAAAATAAAACTGCAACAAAGCTCTTAATGCACCAAATCTTTCCCTTATTCTGGATTATTCTTTAACAGAAATTCCTCGGTGTGCAATTATTGGGAGAAAGCATCCAAATATCATAAAAGAAAGATAGCCCATAAACAGCTTTATTTTTCCAGAATTGGCCTTTTTGCAGAAAATGGTTGCTCCCCATTGAGGCAGATGGTTAGATTGAGCGGCTCTAAGATTCCTTTTTAAATCCATGAGATTCCATGAATCTAAAATAATGGTGTTAAAAACCTGTGGTTGTTGTTAGGTGCCATGGAAATGATCCCTACTTAGAGTGATGCTACGCACACAGGATAAAACACTGACCCGTCCTGAGCCATCCCCACCATCATTGCTATGCTGCGTTCATTGTCACAGCACCTTGTCAATCCAGTTTGTTAACTCAAGAAGCAAGTACAACAAGTATCGTGTATTCACAAGTACTCTTGATGAACTAATGATAACAGTTGTGCCGGAGGAGAACAAATAAAGTGTTGAGGAAGGAGAAAACTCGAGATAGGCTGAGGATGTTCACCTCACTCCCCTGACAGACAGACTGATGGATAGGCAGACATTCTATCTTTCTCCTGCTGACCTGTTGAGTTGTTCCAACCAGAGCTACTTTCCTAGTGAATATATGCAGAAGTCCCATTAAAATTGGCAGGTCCCCTCGACTGGCGGATTCTCTGAGTGATACAAATGGCTAAGTGCTGGGCTTCCAACTGAAAGGTTAGCAGTTGGAGTTGTCCCAGAGGTGCCCCAGAAGAAAGTCCTGGCCATCTACTTTTGAAAATTCAGTTACTGACAAACCCCATGGCACACCATTCTACTCTGACTGATACACACCAGGAGTAGGAATTGACTTAATAGCACCTGTCTTTCTTTTATGTATTTTTAACCCCTTGGCAGTAAACCCTTGCACAGCACTAGTAGACTGGAATGGAAGACAATAGATCGGGATTGAGGGGGACAAAGTGACCCAATGGGAGGTGTCCATCTCCCTTTGTAATCAACTGGAAACAGGGAGATGGTTTTGCTGATGTTTACATCCTCAAATTCCCAAGAGAAGGTGGATAATAAATAAGTGACAAGAACAGATTGCACGCTGTCAGTGTGGGCACTTTTCTTTGCCCCGGGAGAATTGATTTTTAATAACAGCACAGATGACATGTGGCGGGAGTTGTCGCTGACACCGGAGTTTTGTGGGCCTCGATAAATCACATCAGTCTGGAAGCTCCGGGATGGACCAGCTCACTAGGTGCTGTTTGCCTATTGCCATGGGGTCCTGATACGGGTCCTAGGGCACCGGGTTAGGAAGCTAGAGTTTGCAACTTCCTGGCTACTGGACCTTGGGCCAATTACTTCCCCAATCTGGACCTCAGTTTTCCCAACTTTAAAATGGGCATAATCTTCTCACCAATACAGTAAAGATTAAACGGCCGTGAAAAGTCCCACAGAATTACAGTTCTCACTATTCTAGTAACAATGGGCAAGAAGGTGATAGATGGAGAATCTGGCTTTTCCCTTCTCATGTGAACATCACTCAAAGGATCTTCCTTCACCAACACAATGGGTGCCAGATGGACAGGAATAAAAATCAGGGGACAACTGGACCTTGAGTTGGGGGTTGTGGAGTGCTATGTCTGTTCTTGTAAACTGTGATCTGAGAACAGTAACAACAACAACAACAACTCTTAAGTTGACTCCAATTCATGGTGACGCCATGTGTGTCAGAGTAGCACTGTGCTCCGAGGGGTTTTTGATGGCTGAGTGTTTGGAGGTAGACCAACAGGCCTTTCTTTGGAGGTTCCTCTGGGCAGACTCAAACTGCCAGTATTTTGGTGAGCAGCTGAGTGCATCAACTTGCTTGTACCACCCAGGGACTCCAAGCATGGTGATAACAATATATACTTAAAAAAACACACTACATGTGTGAAGGTTCACGTAGCAAACTAGTTTTTCAATCAATAGTTCATCTACAGACCGGCCTATGTTGTTGGTTGCAATCCCTAGAGCGTGCCAGCATTCTCCCTATTTCCCTCCCTACATGGCTGTTGTTATTAGGTGTTGTCAAGTCAGTTCTAAGTGATAGCAAGCCTGTGTACTACAAAACGAAACACTGAAGCACTGCCTGATACTGTGTCATCCTCACAACTGTTAATGTGTCTGAACCCATCGTTGTAGCCTCCATGCTAATCCATCTTGTTGAGGGTCTTCTTTTGTTGCTGGACCTCTGCTTTACTGGATCTTTTGCTATGTCCATTTCTAGCTTTTTAAGGAAATGCCATAGAGTGGTTTATATAATTTTGCAAACCCACCAGCAGTGTCTAAGGGTTCGAATCTTCCCACAGCCTTGCTGATAGTTGTTCTTTGTTGTTGTTGTTTTTATTAATGGGATTCTTACATCTCTAAGGGCTAATGATCCTGAACATGTTTTCATGAGTTGGTTAGCTCCCTGAATGTCTTCTTTGGTGAAGTGTCTGTTCAGATTTTTAAGTTGTTTTGTCTTTTTATTGAAGTCTTAAGCTTTTCTATAGATTTTCGAGATTAGACCCTTGTTGGCTATGTTGTAACTGAAATTGTCTCCTAGTCTCTTTTTACATTTTTGGTGAAGTCTTTGGATGAACATAAATTGCTTAAGTTTAGGAGAGCCCAACTATCTAATTTATCCTCTGTTGCCTGTGCATTTTTAGCTATGTTTAATATACTATTTATGCTGTATGTTAGGGCCCCTAGCATTTTCCCTGTGTCTCTTTTTTTTCTTCCTTCCATAACCTTTGTAGCTTTAGGTTTAACATTTAGGTTTTTGATCCTTTTTGAGTTATAGACCTTATTTCATTTTTCTGTGAATGGACAGTCAGTTTTGCCAGCACCATCTATTAAAGAGACTTTCCTTTCCATTGAATGGACTTTGACCCTTTGTTGAAGATCAGCTATCCAAAGGTGGATGGATTGACTCTTGGGTCCTCACCTCTGATCCAGTGGTCTGTGTGTATGTCATTATACCAGGACCAGGTTACTTGAACTACTGTGGTTGTGTAGTAGGTTCTGAGATAGGGGAATGAGAGGCTTCCTATTCTTTAGTGTGCCTCTTCTTTAGTAGTGCTTGCTTATCTGGGGCCTCTTTCTTTTCCATGCAAAATTGATGATTAGTTTTTCCATCTCACTGAAGAATGTTGTTAGAATTTGAAGCAAGATCACATTATATGTGGTGTACACGGCTGCTCTCAGTTTGAACCGACATGACAACACCAAATAACAATAACCACACAGGGAGGAAGTAGGGAGAATGCTGGCACGTTCTAGGGGTTGCAAACAATGGCATACGCCAAAGACTGCTTTTGGTAGTATTGACATTTTCACAGTGTGTGAGAGTTTACAGTGCACCAGAGCATGTGCTAAATACTTTTACAGAGTACTGCATTTTGTTTTTGTGAGAGTGCCCTTTGTGAGGGCAATGACTATTATTATCTGCTTTGGCATATGGGAAGACTCCCACATTTAGGAACGTGCAGAACCGAGCTTGGAAAGAGGTATGCCCTAGGACTAGGCAGCCTTTCATTGGGGCTCATCTCCTCAGTCAGCTCTCTCTCACCCATGCGTAGGATAAGGGCAGGCAGGTAAGGTGATGAGGGGGCTGCAGACTGTGAGACCCTGTCCAGGGAAACTCAACAGCCCTCTATGGCTGCCATTCAGGGGTTCCTGGTATGACCAGGTCTCTTTATTTTCCAAGAGATTGTGGAAATTGGGATTTTTATGAGATACTTCCCGATGGTTCAATACTGATAAGTCATTAATTCTTTTTTTTTTTTTAAGGCATTGAATGAGCCAACTTTTGGATTCCTAAATTGCATGCTGTGAGCTGAAATGGACTCCTGGGCTTCCAGTTTGCCATCACTGATGTATGAGTTTTGGTTCCTTGTGGAGGGAGGAACCAACTGTGAACCTGATGATCCTCCAATATCACACATCAGGGTCACTGCAAGAAAACTGCATGTCCTAATCCTCACAAAGGAGTCCTGGCATGGCACTGCTAACCTCAAGTCTAGTCTGGCAGTTCAAACCCACCAGCTGCTCCTCAGAAATCCTATATGGGGTCACTGTGAGTCTGAACTGACTTGATGGCACTTAACAACAAAAAATGCTCACAAAACCTAATCAAGTTGATTCTGACTCATAGTGACTGTATACAGGGTTTCCCAGACTCTAAATTTTCATGGGAGGAGACAGCCTCATCTTTTTCCCGAAGAGCAGCTGGTGGTTTTGAACAGCCACCCATTTTGGTTAGCAGCCCAATGCCTATCCCAGGGAGCCAAAAGTGCTCCTTAATCTTCACAAAGGAGGTGCTATTGATCCCATTTCACAGAACAGAAGGGTAAAATAATTTGCTCAGGATTCCACAGATGGTAGTGGGCTGTATGCCAGGTCTAGTTGACTCCCAAGCAAAAGTTCTCTCTATCCCCTTGAGCAACTACAGGTGCTGTGTGGAGAAGTGAAGGTATGAGTGTGCACCTCCAGTTGTTACCCAATCAAGTATAAGTGAAGACGCAGGACTCTGGGCTACTCACAGCACACGGAGAGACCGCAGCCCATTGAAGGCATGGATGGGGATGCACCTCAGCCGGTTGTAGCTCAGGATCCTGTGGAAAAGGAGACAGTGCTTTGGTGATGGTTCTTACTCTTAGCTACTCATGCACTGTCCACACTGTGGATATGGCACAGCAAATGGCTTCTTGCTTATCCCAGTTTTAATACACTGACCAAAATATCCTAACCATAGAGGGAAGACAAATCCCTCCCACCACCCAGCAAGCTCACTGACTTCATTTTCCCAGTTTTCTCCCATGTTCTGGCAGGCTAACTGGCTTCTCCATCACTCCCCTTTTTGGTTAAATGGAGAGTGCTCACAACGTGCAAAGCTAATTGGAAAGAAATGGGTCTGAGCAAAATATAATTATGTAGGGAAACCCTCCACTGGGAAAGAAAATTCACAAATTACAGAGGGCATCCCGACAAGAGTTTTCTTCAGGAGTAATTAGGTTCCAGCTTCTCTCTAACTGCCCAGACAGTGGAGTCCCGACCTACTTTATTTTCCTTCTGATGATTACAGTTAATCCTACACTGGGATAACCAGTCTTGAAGCTCACTAGAGCAGAGAACCTAGGCCTGAGGGGACCAAGGGGAAGAACAGTCACAGGTCAAATACTCACAGAGTCGAGAGGTGTGACATATTACTGAAGGTGTAATTGGTCAGCATGCCGATGCTGTTGTTACTCAGGTCACTAGGAAAAGCAAAATGGAAGGGTCACCGAAAATGCTGCATTTGTTGCATCTGAAAGGGTCATTCTCAAGTATCACACATACCTGTCACCCATCCTTCCATCCACCCATGCATCCATTGTTCATTCATCTCTTCACTCACCCATTTATCCATCTGCCCACTCATTTATTCATCCACTCTTCCATCAATCCATTGATCCATCCATATATCCACCCACCCACCTACCCACCCATCTATTTGTCCACCTACCCATTCATCCAACTGTCCATTTCATTTTCCCACTGAGCACTTATTCATCCATAATTCAAGCAATGGCCGTTCGTTCATTCGTTCATTCATTTATCTATCATTTTATCCATTCAACCATTTGATTACATGCTGAGTCATCTACCAGCAAAACATAACATTACAATGTTGTTGTTGTTAAGTGCCGTCTAGTCGGTTCTGACCTATAGCGACCCTGTACAGGGTTTCCAAGGCTGTAAATCTTTACGGGAGCAGAAAGCCTCAGCTTTCTCCCATGGAGCAGCTGGTAGTTTCGAACTGCTGACCTTAAGATTTGCAGCCCGATTCATAACCACTACATTACCCGAGCTCCTTAACATTACAATAATCTCGCCTTGTTTTAGTATTTTTTTTTCCTTGGTTAATTCTTCCTTTCACAGTCGCTCTATCCTCCCTCTCTTCTGGCATCCACTGATTCTTTCTAATCACATTCCTTCTTAGGGGGGATATGGTGGGTGGGGGTGTAGGGTTTTTGTTTTTTTTTTCCAACTACATGCTCTAGTTTTCGCTTAGGGATAAATATCCAGATCCAGAGCAGTGCTTTTCAACCTTAGCTGCACCTTAGAATCGCTTGGGGGAAGTTGTATAAAAATTCTGGGCTCTACCCCCAAACATCTGACTTAATTGATCTGAGGTGGTCCTAAGCATCAATATTCTTTTAAAAATAACTGTTGATGCAATCTCTATAATCAGCAGATGTACATGGATCTAGAGCAATGGTTCTTCAAGGGGGCAGTTTTGCCCTCCAGGGAACATTTTCCAGTGTCTGCAGACAACTTTGATTGCCACTACCTGGGGAGGGGGGCACTGCTGACACCTAGTGGGTAGAGGTCAGGGGTGCTGCTAAACATCCCATAATGCACAGCATAGGACCCACAACAAAGGATTATCTGGCCTCAAATATCAACAATGCTGCTGCCGAGACATGTTGATCTAGAGGCTTGGTTTGGGGGTAGCTAGAAAGCCAGGCCTAGTGAGATAACAGGAGCTTTCTCCCACCTTCCCTCAGTAGGTTCCCACTTTCCCAAGGGTGATACTGTTTCATTCTGAAAGAACTCGCATTTTTCCTTTTGTGAACCTGCTCCCACTACACAGACAGGAACATTTTTCCTTTACCATTTGCCCAAGGAATTACTTTGCCCCCTCATGGGGGTCCCGCCTTGGCAAGGCAGTGAGGCTGTTGGACAAACCCTGCAGATTGCTTGGCGTTCTAGGTCCTGCCCTCATCCGGCAAGCCAGCTCCTCATTTGGAGGTTTCCCTGGGTCTTGGCAGTCTCACAGGCAGTATTAGCTATAGACTGAAGGAACTTCTATTTGAACCAACTACTTGAAATATTCTCAGGGGAAGTAGAGAGGAAGGACAATGAAATATCCTAGGAGAGGTCACAACTTGCCAGATACTGGAATTCAGTTTGGAGTCCAGAAGGTTAGAGGCTAACCCACGTTCTCTAAAGTCAAGTAAGAAGGTGATTCAAAGGGTCAGTGATATCAGGCTGCTGGATGTCTCTGAATGTTGGCATCTCTGGGTAAGGCCTGGACATGAGGCTAACACATTCCTCCCTGCTGCCTCTTCCTGATCCACCCAGGGACAGGCTGCTAAAGCACTCATCAGCTCCTGGCACTATTCTCTCTTGTCTTCCATCTCAGTTTCTGAGCTCTGCCGGGCTCCTTACATTAATGCCAGGTGTCGGAGGGCTGACAGCTCCCTGGGCACGGCTGCTAAGTGGTTTCCTTCCAGGTACCTGAAAGAGAGGTGCAGAGTGAAACCTGGGAAAAAAGGCACTACACAAATTGTCACATTCTTAGAAAAATCTCTGAATTTTCATACTAGGTCAGTTTCCTATTGTGCTCTCTCCTTTTATTTTCCCTCCACAGCACATATTGCATTTGTCATTTAATGTTTATTTATATACTTATTCTACTGATGCCCTTTTCTCCACCAGACTAATAAATTCCATGTTGGCAGGGCTCCTGTCTAAAATTGCGTTTTGTGAGATCTCCTTAAAACTGTGTAGAGGGAGGGCACATAGTAGGTGTTCAATAAATATTGGTTGAATGAAGTATCCATTTTGTGCCAGGCCCTCACAATAACATGCTGTTGCTAAATGCTGTCAAGTTAATTCTGACTCATAACAACCCTGCTTAGGGATTCCAAGGAGTGGCTGGTGGGTTTGAACCACTGACCTTGTGATTTGAACCACTGACCAGGGTTTATCCTGCAGCACAATTTACAGTGGAGGCAACAAAAGTGCAGAGATGTTAAGATACATGTCCAAGGTCACTCACTGAGCAGGTAGTTGAGCCAGGACTTGAATCCAGGTCTCTGACCCCAAGGGACCCCTTACCACTATTCCATGTGGACTCTAGCAAAGGGCAGTGTGAGAGCTGAGCCATGAGTGGTCTTGAGAACCTTAATTCAACAGTGGAGTAGCTCTGATGTGCATCTAGAAGCTAAGGAAATAGGAGCACTGTACTCCTGTTCCCACAAGAGGACCCCCATGACAGGAAGAATAGGGGGTGGGGGCTCAGGTATGGATACACCCAACAGATAGAGACTTCCCCTGACAGGCAGAGGCTGAGATGAGACAACCTCTTTGGAGGTGTGAGCACAACTTTAGACAAAAGAGGAGGTGTCATTCAATCATGAACTATGGAGTGGCCAAGTGCATAATTACCAACAAGGAGGAGCCAAATCCGTTTATCCAGCCCCTTGCTGATCACAGTGGCTTACAAGACCTGCTCTGATGTGTTGCGTAAGCCCCCCCTCTCTTTTATTTTAACAGTCAGCAGCCAGTGACTGCTGGTCATTTGTCTAGTGTCTGCCTTAAGCTCCCAGAGGGCAGAGTCTAGGTCTCTTTTTGAAACCCCGTGTTAACAAAAACGATAAGGAGAACACAAATCACCCCGGAGCTGGCAAATATGCAGATTTGGATCCAGTAGGTCTGGGGTGGGGGTTGGATGGTGGGGGCTGCTGGTCTATGGACCACATTTTGAATAGGAAGGTGCTAACATAGCTGAGTGTTCAGCAGACTCATACACAAAAAAATGACTGAATGGAACAAACACGGGTTAAAATAGGATATGTTGCAAGCTTGCTAATAACCAAACTGTTATTGTTAAGTGCTGTCGAGTCGGTTCTGACTCACAACAACCCTATATAGGCTTTCTGAGGAGTGGCTGGTGAATTTGAACTGCCAACCTTACAGTCCAGTGCATTAACCCACAGCACTACACCAGGGCTCCAGAACTAAATTAGGCTTACCTTTAAGGACCTATTGGAATGCATATTACCTTAAATTACGGCCTAGCAACTCTATTCCTATGGCTAGCCCCTAGGGGCCTTCCTGGCACAGAACACTGAGCAGGATCCTATATGGACTCGGGTGGCTGTGACATATTGGGTTAATGTCTTTGTGACATCTCAATCTTTTTTTTTTTTGTGTGTGTGTGTGTACCTATTCCATGCCAAGGGCTGTGTTAGATGCTGCTGAAGGAAGACCCCCCATTTCTGCCTTTAGGAAGTATGGTGATCTGGTCTGAAATTTAGCCATGCATTCACTTAGCTCTTGCCCTCAAGAAGATGAGCTAAGCGAAGTGCATTCATTTGTTCAGGAACAAATGCTTATGAAACAACTTCAGTGCTGTATGTGTTGGTGAAGAGGACAGTAGCAATGATGCTTTCTGAGGCTTAACAATCTAATGTGTGTGTGAGAGAGATAAAGACAAAAGGACAGAGACAGAATATATACAGATACATAAATCAAAACAAAACCCGCTTGTAGAGTAGGAAGGATGGTTTGGTTTTTCTATATATACACAGCAAAACAAACACCAACTCAACAGTCTCTACATGTACCATTTACTGACAGTGGTTACGTTCAAGTTGTGCAACCACCCTCATCCTCCTTAGTGTTTTCAATGGCTGATTTAAAAAAAAAAATGTTTTATTGTGAATTATGTGATAGTTTACATGGGAGAACATTAGCTTTACATTCATCCTATTGTATATCATTTCATTGCCATGGTTACAATCCCCTCCATGCATCATCAACCAACCTGCAACAAGCCTTCCACCTAGTTTTCAGCACACAGCCTCTCTTCCTCTCTGGGTCTAGATTCCCCAGCCATTCCATCTCTCCACATCATCATCTCTGCTGTCACTGTTTCTCTGGGTAGGGTCCCGCCCTCCACTCTTCTCCCTTGATAGTCCTAGGAACCTCTGCTCTTAGACTGAAAAGTTAATCACTCCCCTTCTTGCTACAAAACGTCTACATTTCCATTTCCAACCCTCACAATCAGTCCTGATAACAATTTTCACTATTGTATCACAAGAGACCTATCCTCATCTCCTTTCATTAGCCCCACCCAGACAGATTGGATACTACTCAGTGGACATTCTACCTTCCCCCATGCCCTCTGGTCAATGGCTGATGTTTGGAACTAGAACTGTAGGCCTGTCTCCTGAGGCTTCTCTGGGTGGACTTGAACCTCCAGTTTTTAAGCTACCAGCCAAGTGCATTAACTTTTACACCAGCCAAGAGTTGAGCTGACTTGATGACAATTTTTTTTTGTGTGTTTTAATTTACTTAAGATGAGATGATGGGCACAAAGGCGGATGCCTCAGATGGAGCAGGAGTTGGGTGCTAAACTGGGGTTCTGAGGCAGGGAGAGAAGTCAGGGGCTGGAGGAGAACAGAAGAAAACAGCAGATCACACTGTGCTCTGGAGTCAGTGGGAAAACAGTGATGGCAGACAGGTTCGGGAGGGGAGCTGCAGGACTTCCTGTGGAAGGGGGGCGTCTTCTGAGCTCCACTGAGTGACAGACTGAAAGATCATTCCCATTTTGTGGTGTGTGGCCAAAGTGTGGTGGGGAGGATGCCGTGGACTTCCTGGGAGGTGTGTGTGTGTGTGTGTTCTGGGCTCTGGATAAGCTGAAGGTGGGCAGGGAGCTTAGTGCAGGGCCCTAGCAGGTGTCTGACAGGACAGTGTGGTATGTGAGGAAGTTGGATGAATGAACAGGGTAGGTGGGGAGGTGCCAGACCAGAGAGCATACCTCCTCAGAGAAGACTAATGAACCCCAAGACAAAGGCCTGGAAGGAGTCTGACCCCCTTTCTGACAGTGACTGTTCAACCTCCTGGCCGCCACGCTCATTTGTTTGCTACAATGATGGAGCAAAGTTGAGGCATGGAAGAAGAGAGCCAGAACTACATATCCCGTCCCTCAGACTCACTCTGGTGATATTGACAGGCCCTGTGACAAGCACCTTAAGAGTGGCCTGTAGGTTGAACTTGCTGTGTGTTGGAGGCAAATTACCTAAACTCCCTGATAAAATGACAAGGACAACAATGTCAAGGAGAGTAATAAAACAAGACAACAAGACTCAGGAGCATGATCTGAGCTTTAGGGATGGAGACGTTCTGGTCTGTCATCTCATTCAGTTCTTTAGGACTTTGTTGTTATTGCTGTTAAGTGCTGTTGAATCAGTTCCAACTTAGAAGCCACCCTATATAGGGTTTCTGCGGAGCGGCTGGTGGGTTTTGAACTGCCGACCTTATGATTAGCAGTCCAGTGCTTGTCCTACAATGTCACACCAGGACTCCCTTTAGGACTTGTGTGTGTGTGGTGGTGTTTTGCCAGCTAGTCTGTCCATTTTGCAGATGAGAACACTGAGTCTCACAGAAGAGCCAGGATTTAAACTCAGTTCTGTGGAGCTCTGGAGCCTGAGAAGCCAACTGCATGCTATTTCACCTGTCCACTTCAAGCTCCTTATTTTCACGTTAGCCACTGCAGTCCTGAAAGGCTATCTTTGTACTTTACTATATAATTTATTTTCTCCCTGATGCCAGAATATGAGCTCCATGAACACAAAGCTCTTGGCCCGTTTTGTTCACAGCTGTATTCCCAGTACATAATAGACTGTGCTGTTCATACTAAAGGCTCTAGTATCTGTTGAAAGAATAAATGACTTCACAGAAAGGTTGTCTGTCATTGTTGTTGAGTGTCACTGAGTTGGTTCTGACCCATAGCGACCCTGTATAGGGTTTTCAAGGAGTGGCTGGTGAGCTTGAACCGTCGGCCTTACAGTTCAAACCGACTTTGCAGTTCAGTGCATTAACCCACAGCATCTGACCAGGACTCCTGGATTAAAGGCAATCACCTAAGGTGTTCCCAAGGAATGCTCTAAGCTAGACAGGTAAGTGTGCTGTATAAAACCAAAACACAAAACAAATCAGTTGTCTTCGAGCCAGTTCCGATTTGTGGCAACCCCATGTTTGTCAGAGTAGAACTGTGTTCCATGAGTTTTCAGTGGTTGAGTGTTTGCAAGTAGATTTCCAGATTCTTCTGGTAGACTCCAGCTTCCAGCCTTTCAGTTAGCACTGAGTGCATTAACCTCTCTGAGACTCCACAGATGCATGTATTTGCTAACCAGCTGGACAAGTGCAGAAATGACCACTAGATTCAGACAGCTTTCCCATCTGAGGTAGGGAGGCTTAGGGTCCAGGAGGGTGAGCAATGTCACAAAGCTGCTTGGAAGCCTCTGAAGTCACAGAGCCAGTTCCCAGGTGCCTGGCCATCTCTGCTGGTGCCAACACTAACTGGAAGAGCAGCTCTTCCCTTTAAATTCCTTCTGTGGAGTCTATGGCTTGTTACAGAAAGTCAATTGACTCCTGCCCAAACCCTACAAGGTCTTCTGAGCTTTGCACCTGCCTCAGTCTCTGGATTCACTGTTCATCAAACTTCC